AAAAAAAAAAAAAAAGCCAATGCAAATTGTCCAAGACCCTGGAGTACAGGAAGAAGGCCTTGACAGGGCATTTCATAGCTAAAGAAAATGCTAGACTGAGCTGCCAGAGAGACCGCTGCAGGCGTCGGGGTGGGAGCAGGGCAGTAAGGAACAGCCAAAGGAAGCATGTTCGGAATGGCTTTTCCTGGGTGGAGTGGGCCACGCCACACTGGGAGCACTGGGAAAGGAGGCTGCAGGCAACCTGGCCAGGAACACAGGAAGGCCCAGGGCCAGACTCTGCCCACCTGGAAGGAGCTGGCCTGAAGAGCCCAAACCTGTGCTCCTCTCGAGGCCCTCAACGGCCCAATGACCTCAAGGGGCAGCGTCCCCGGGCAGAGCAAAGACATGAGAGCCACCGTTGCTGGCTTTGGTGTAAGTCGAGGAAGAAATCAACCTTTTTTTGTCCTCCTGTTTCACGGGCTCAAAGCATCAAATGGGAGAGACTACACTAAGGGACTTTGAGGTGTAACATCCTGACACCTGGTCCTCGTGACTCCTCTGGACTCTATTCCAGAGCGAGACGGATCCTAAAAGCTCTGACCGATGACCAGGATGACCAGGATAACTTAGCGAGACAAGTCGCCAGGAGGCACAGGGGGCTGACATTTCAGGGGGGCTCCCCTTGTGCCTCTGAGAAGGGGGGGGCAGGGCAGACTCGGACCCCAGGCTAAGGGCCCCCAGGGGCTCTCGAAGGTCATTGGGCCGGACCCTCAAGGCAAGAGGGCGGCCTAGGCCCCCAGGAGGTCGCAGGAGCCAGCCTCGAGCACACCGCGGGCTTCTGCTCGGGCTGGCTGAGAACCTTCGGAGCCGGCAGAAGGCGCGAGGCCTCGGAAGCCCCCCACCCTCCCGGGCTCCCCCAAGTCGGGGCGCCCGAAGCCCACGTTCTAGAAAGCGGCGGGAAGGCCGATCGGCCAGGCGGGAGCGAGGGCCCAGCGGAGCCACGACAGCGTCCCGAACTCGGAAACCGCGCCCGCGGCGTCCCCGAGAGGGCGCGGCGAGAGGGG